AAGCGTGGTACCCGCGTACGGGCCCCCCAAAATTTTCCCGCGCAAATTCATAACTCGGGGTTCTGAAAAGCTAGAAAGCTGAAATTTTAGGGTGAAGTTCCCCGTCCAAGCAGATGCTAATGAGCTGAAATCCAGCCCCCGGGTAAGCGTGGTATTTGCGTACGGACCCCCCAAAATTTTTCCCGCGCAAATTCAAAACTCGGGGGTTCTGAGAAGCTAGAAGGCTGAAATTTTAGGGTAAAGTTCCCCGTCCAAGCAGATGCTAATGAGCTCAAATCCAGCCCCCGAGTAAGCGTGGTACCCGCGTACGGGCCCTCCAAAATTTTTCCCGCGGGGGATCTAAGAAGCTAGAAGGCTGAAACTTTAAGGGAATGTTCCCCGCCCAAGTAAGTCTTAACGGGCTCAAATCCAGACATCGGGCATGCGTCGTACCCGCGTGCGGCCCGTGAAAATTTTTTCCAGTAAGTAGCTAACTCAGAAGCCGGGAAAACTAGAAAGCTGAAATTTTAAGGGGTGTTTCCTACCAGTTCTGGCAGCCGATCTTAATTAGTTTAGCTTGAAGCATTTGCCGAAGAAACCGATTCCGATAGTGGCAAAAATTGCGGGGAACTCTGCAAAAAACGCATCTTCGCACGGGCAGCCCGTGCGTTGGCCAATTTTTAGTCACTGATACGAACTAGCGAGTGAAAATCCACGCTGGAACGCGCCAGGCTTGCCAGTGCAATCACGCATTTTTGCGCTAAACTGTATTATGATTGTAGTCTTACATTTAATTTGTGCAATCATAATCGCCGTAAGTCCGCACAAGAGGAAAATGGAACTCATTAAGATCTGTAGACGAAAAACATCCCCTTAAAGTTCCAGTTTTCTGGCTTTTTGGGTTCCCAAGTTAGCGACTTACTCGCCGTAAACTTTGCCGGGCCCATACGTGGGTACCTCGCGGGTAAGAGCGTCCATTTTGAGGATGGGGGCTCGTACATGCATACAGATTAAGTTCCCAAAGTTCCAGCCTGTAGTTTTTGTAGTCCTTGAGATGAAAAATCGGTACAGACGAACCCGCAGACACAGATACATACACGTGTTTTTGCAGTGCATAGATGCAAAAAACGCATAAAAAACAAAAATCCAAATTGAACTCCGTCCTGACCAAAAAGCTCCTTGCCCAATTCTGTTTTATTTAATGCATAGTGCTTAGCCTGACATGCCTGCATTCAATTTAGTATTTCTGGACGAAATTTCCTGCACTTTTACTAATTTTACCTAATTGCATTGCTTTTAAGCTGGTTTTTCTGCACTCTTACACCTTCAGGAGCCAAATTTTTCATTCTTTAGCCTCGGTTTTTGCTCTGTGCCTTTTTTTCCGACTAACCTTCGCATTACATAAGGGAAAGAATAGTACTCACTTCAGAGATTTACTTTGGTAGGGTAGTCATTTGGGAAAAGTTTCTGTAATACTTGACCTCTACGCTATTAAAGTACGTAAGCTTAAATTTAAGCTTGGAAGTCGAAAAAAATTCCCAAAAAGACCAGAGCTTCGGCCAAGCTCCTTTCAAAACCATACTGTTTTAAATGCATTAAAATGATTAGAAGCAAATCATGGTAAATTCGAGTACCACATTCACCGGCTGAGGAATCCGCCGCAGCTTATTACCTACTCTGAGAAAGGAACGTACCACTGTCGCTTTGTAATTGTACTGAAAATAGCTTGATGTCTTTTGGATCTGCGCTATCTGCGATTTCAGAACTAGTCATCGACCTGTTGCCAATGGAAATTCGTACATTTGAAGCGGAAATTCGCCCCAAAAGAGCCCTCATGCGGCGAGATCACGGGCAGTGAAAATAAGGGAATCAATGTGTCCAGCGAAAAAGAAAGAATTCGTTTACGTTTATTACTTGTTGAGATTTTGAATAAAGTACATTGCATACGTCCTGTATATTGTGATCATCAAGATCGACAAGTTATCATCAAGTTTAATGATACCCCATTTTGCTTTAAATATTTTGACTTTTTTTATCTGTTGTTTCATTGTTGCACTTTTTTTTTTACCAATGTTTTAGCTGGCTTGGATTGTTCTCCATCTTGGATTCCCCTCATCCACATAATTCCATAAAGATGTTCAAACGGATCTTTCTATCGCATTGATGACGTTTTTTCAAAAGTGCGCATTATTGACATCTGTAGTTGTATTTAGCTGGTCTTCTTGAAAAAGTGGAATAAAGGTTCTTCGGAAAAAAAATAATTTCAGGATCTTTTGGGAAAAAATCGGCCTGAAATCCCACAGCTTGCAGCAGAGTGCTTCTTCCTCCGTTTAAGTGAAAGAAACCGAGGGAAAAAGCGAGTAATCTTTTCAACCTCTGTTGGGTAATCTCTTGTCTGGTGATGATGCTCTGTTTTATGGTGAATACCTGACATTACAGAACATTTTCAGCTAGTCCGTTAAGCAACCATCAGAAGACAGAACCCATCGACAAGCTTGCCTACTAGGGTGGCTGATGTTGTCACCTCAACCGTGAACCGGAAGAAAACTCTTTCTCGCACGATTTTGAGTCCTAAATCGACATTCTCATAAGCGATGAAATTTCATGTGCGCCACATCCAGACAGCATCTTCTAAGGAATTAAATAACGCCGCACGAAGATCTGGAATTGCGCGTGCCAAATCCAGGCGACCTCACGCAGAATGTCGCCAACACCACGTCACCGAAGAACTAGGCCAGGGCTATAGAGGGATCCAAGGCGGACTCCTGGATCGGAGGGGGAGGAAGCGGTAGGTGGGGGAAAGTGGAGCTCCTGGAGGAGGGGCAACGGGGGAACCTCTTTATTTTGGAACTGCGCGAAAAACTGGGAATGAAGTTGTAACAGTGCTAATTAGAGTTACTTTAGGCTTTAGTTTGTTTTAATTTTAGTTTTAAACGTGGCCTTTTGCAGCTGTGGTGTCCGCGCCGCTGGGGAGGGGCGAGGAAGGGCGAGGGAGTTTTCGCTTCTCCCCTTCGTCCCCCACCCCCGCTCCCTCCCTCTCCTTGCCCCTAACTAAGCCGTCTAGAATAACCCTCTACTCGGGACGAAGCGTTGCACAGCGAGACGAGAGTTTTTGCGAGCGTTGCGGAGACGGGTGGTGATTAATCATCGGATTACGTGGATTGGGGACCGGAATGCTGGGGTTCCCTGGGGTTTTGTTTAAGGATGTTTGTCTGGGAAGGGGGAGGGGAGGGGAGAGGGATTTTCAAAAAGAATTTGTAAATTTTGGATTTGAAGTTTCTGCAGTGGTTCAGTGCAGATCGGTGAAAATACGTAGCTCCTAGTGCTGGCATATGTGACCTAGTTTTCCTACTGCTTCATGCTACACTGGTTTATCTGGAATTTCTCAGAAGAGCTGATGGACTGATTAGTTACCATGGGAAGCTGACCGTTTCGTAATATTTAGCCTCCTTGAGCGGAGGTTACGTCACTGAGGCAAGAAACCCCCTTTCCCCTGCCCTTCGCCAGCCCCGGCCAAATTATGTTTTTTGGGTAAAAAAGTCAGATGCGGATAATCCTTCCCTGGGCATTTGAAAGCTGACCACCCCGCTAACTGTCTAGCTGATTTTGGGCTTTGCTAAGTTTTACAACAACAGGACAGTTTATTCGATTTTGCACAGCCTTCCCCCTCCCCCTGCGCCCTCCACTTCATCTCGCGCTAAAACTCTCTCCGTATTTGCTGGTAGTGAGGGGCGGAGGCAAGCGGGAAGAGTACCAACAACAATCACTCGTTGACGAAGCTGTCGATGGCTTCCGTTGTTTTCACGGTTTCTATTTGTAGGGTTTCGGTTAAGGTGTCGCATCATGATCTAGGGGGATGCCAACGTTGGCAATGGTGCTAAATAAGCAGCTAAAGCTTTGCCGATTGCTTTTAGCGGACGAACAACTAATATTTCCGTTCAGGAAACGGAACGGGCATCAAGAAACCGTGCCAGTTGACTAGCAGGCGATGCAGCGTCGCTCTTTAAGCTGCTGGAAAAAATTGCCATTTGCGCAGCTTGGGAATC